CCTAAAACTCCATATTATAGATCACCTAAAATACTATGTATCCCAACAATTGGACGGTCTAGAGTATTTCAATTTTAGTATTTTACATATATTTTGAAGGATCTGAAATTTAATGCGGATCTGAAATTTAATGCTATGCGATTCTTAAAAAAAAAATTGTGAAAAATGAAATGATCATTTTTCTTCGAGGAGTAGGTTAGTCATTTCATTTTATATAAATAATTTTTTTGATATGTTTTATGAAACTTACTTAATTAGACGCATACACCTTCCAAATTTCAATTCGATTCAATTTTAGAAAACTTAAAATTATTTGAAGTTTTGTATCCATTTTTAAAAATAAGATAGAGCCCAAAAATAGGAAATTCGCTCTTCCATGGGCGGTGGTGTCCATATTCCTCGTTTTTTATAAATGTGGACTCTTTTCATTCTCGAATTTCCAGTTGTCAAACAGGAAAATGCTGTGAATTTTTAGAAATTTCTTGCTTTGGCAAATATGTTGTTGGGAAGCAATTACTATTTTTTCTCTTTTGGGTAGTAAATAGATGGAGCACATTGTACATCAACTCATTCGGCCAAAGAGATACTAACATAGGGATTCCCTAAAGAAGTGCTCTATTAGTTATCTTTAAACTATAGATTTTGATTTTTTTAACACTTGAATTTTGCCCCTCTAAAAATTAGTCAATAATATAATTATTGTGGCATCATTTTTTTTTTCATTTATATGATGATGACTTTGTGGTTTTTTTTTTAAAGGTTGAACTCTATGTATACGGATTTTAGTTATGGACAGGGTTTATATGAGTATGTATAAAAATGAGTCAGCTCTTAAAAATCTATTTTTGAGAGATTTTTTTACATAATTTTTAAAGATATGAAATCTCTAATATGGAGATCATGAATATAAAAAAATAAATAGATTTTAATAATAAAAAATGATAAATTTATTAAAAAAGCATTTGGGCCGTTAGTTTAAATTATTTTTAGATGGACCGCTAATTTGCATCCATTGTTAAAATGGATGCTTTATGACTTGGGGACAGTAAAATATAGTCCCCGCCGCATGAAACAATTTTCCCCTAGTTATATACAAGGGAACATATGCACACTATGCTCCCATGAGTAAGAAATATGCAGTTGTTGGGTGTGTAGAATATTTCATGCTCCCTCGGTCAAAGAAATAGTTTTCGGATTCCAATTTTTGGGATGTAATTTCAATGGCGCAAGTTTTCTGTCCTTCTCCAACAGCATAAAACTTATATGCTTCTCCTTGTCCAACGGTCCATTCTGAATAGAGGGCTCAGATTGCTCCAATCACAATGTCACGTCTCTCTACTATTTTGTTTTTAGATTTTTTATATAAAATATTTTGATACCAAATTTTGGACGTTCATGTTTCTATTAAACTCGCACTAGCAAAAAATATATTAAAAATATTTTCAATAAAATAAAATGACCAAAATACCTTTGAAAGTTTCATGTATATTTTGATCATTATATTTTATCAAAAAATTATTTTTAATATTTTTTATAGGTGTGCCCCAATGAAAATATAGAACGTACCAAATTTCATATTTATACAATTTGTATAAAAAAACTAAAAATAAAATACTTTGAGACATCAGATCTAAGATCAAACGATGAGTAACTCTCTTGATCAAAATTAGACGGCTGGGTGGTAGGGGAAACATAGAACTTCTATGATATAGGGAAAGTATAGAAACCTTCCCCATTTCTAGAAACCAAGGACCACCCTCAAACAAAACATATATATCTTGCACTTTACATGTGTCCTTAAATTAAAACGAATTGTCTAATTGTTTGAGAAAAAGATCCAGATTTCAAGAACTCAAAATTCATTTTTTTCTTGAAAATAATAATTTAACGACATTTGGAGAAATCCCAAAATTATAGATGAAAAAACTCCTCCTTAGTATTTATTTTACCCGAGGGAGTTGTTGTACAGTCCCTGGAGCATCTTATACGTGCTCATGTGGGGGAACCTCTAAAAGTTTTTTAAAAAGGTTCATAACAGAACGGAACCAGGAGTGTCCTCCTGTTAAATAACAATATCGTTGTGAAAGAACATACTGAAAGGGGTGAAAATTGGAGAAAAGATGAGGAAAATAGGAAATTAATGGAGAGTAAAAAAAAGTCCAAATCAGTGGTTAAACAATCGGTGGCTCAACGCGAGCCACCCCTGTTCACTTGTTACATGCTGGATGCGGTATCCCTCGAGGCGAATCGCATCCGAGTCACTGATTTTGTTAAGACTCAATCGAGTCCAGCGTCTCTTACATGACTGAGTTGGCCTTCGACTTAATAGAGCCAACCTCCATCTCTGGCTCAAGATCCCGGAGAACCCAATCCTAAGTCCTGATGATCGGTCAATACTTGAAATATTATAAAGTACATGAAAAGTATACAAAGAGGCCATTTAGGGGGTCACGATCACATTTCTCCATTAGAATTCAAATCGGGTAGTTGTAAGTGTATTATTGATTAAGACTTAAAGTTAAAAAAAAAAAAATTCAAACTTTGTGACACACCAAACCAGTGTTTTAAAAAACGCCGAGTCAAACAGGACTCACCCGGTTCGACTCGAAAATCGCAAAAAGTGGATCGTATCGGCAAAAAAATGGGATATCGTCCGGTTCTAGAGAGAACCGGACGATTCTGTACAGCGACTCGCCGATTCACTGTACGGAATTGGCGAGTCCGAACAGTGAATCGGCTAGTCCTGTACGGAATTTTTTTTTTTTAGTAATCCATGATCGAATTGTTTTTGTTTTTTTGTAATCCATGATCGAATTTTTTGTTTTTTTGTAACCCATGATAGAATTTTTTGTAATCCATGATCAAAATGTTTGTTTTTTTTTCTTGTAATCCATGATCGATTTTTTTGTTTTTTTTTGTTTTTGTAACCCATGATAGAATTTTTTGTAATCCAT